ATAGGCCTAAATAAAATGTTTTTTAATTGTGTACCAGTTTAACGTTGAATATTATTTATGATTTTAACATATTTAATTGTTTGATAAGAAAACGTTTTTATTACATATTTTATTTACTTTTATCTTATCGTGCCTTTTTTTACTTATATTTTTCAGATGGGACTATTACCGTTAATAACGCTAGAGTCGTCGAATCTGATATTCTGACTGGAAATGGCGTTATACATGTTATTGACCGTGTTCTTGTGACGTCATCAGAAGTAGATGTGTTTAGTAACAGGTTCCCAGGAGGTATAATCTCCTAGAATTTCTACTCTTTTTTAGGATATTTTATTATAATAATGAGAAAACAATTATTCGAAAAAGTTATATAGCATTAATACGTGATATTTCCATACGTAGTCAAAAATAAAGTAAAATATATAAATTTCATAAGGTGTGTTACGTTCTGCTTCAACCAGAATGTTACTAATATTTCAAACAGTTGTAGGTAGATTGTTTGGGAACTTGTGTTGGATTTAGCATACTTGTTATGTCAAAAGATTTCGCAAGACACCTAGTTATTACGTTAGCGTTGTTAAGTATTTTGTTAAAAAGTGTCATCCGATTGTAGAGTAACTCATCAATCACAAAGTTGATTCTATTTAAAGGAGAATAAATCTTGAAAAAAGTTGGCAAATATGAGGTTCTGTGAACTTCTTTGATTCTCGGTGAAATGTTTTAGTTTCTTGTCTTCTTTGTAACATTTGTATTGTTATTTAAAATATAAAGCGACAGTCACGTGTCTAAGAGTTAAGTTTCATTGACAATACCGTCCGCTCTCGTCATACCTGTAGGTAAGTGTTATCTTCCACATATCCTCAGAAAATAGTTACATGATAAGTTAGCCAATACACCTGACGGATCAGTCCATACTGTTTGTATTGGAGAACCAGAACCCTGTGGGATCAGTCCATACTGTTTGTATTGGAGAACCAGGACCCTGTGGGACCAGTCCGTAATGTTTGTATTGGAGAACCAGGACCCTGTGGGATCAGTCCATACTGTTTGTATTGGAGAACCAGGACCCTGTGGGATCAGTCCGTAATGTTTGTACTGGAGAACCAGAACCCTGTGGGATCAGTCCGTAATGTTTGTATTGGAGAACCAGGACCCTGTGGGATCAGTCCATACTGTTTGTATTGGAGAACCAGAACCCTGTGGGATCAGTCCATACTGTTTGTATTGGAGAACCAGGACCCTGTGGGATCAGTCCGTAATGTTTGTATTGGAGAACCAGGACCCTGTGGGATCAGTCCGTAATGTTTGTATTGGAGAACCAGGACCCTGTGGGACCAGTCCGTAATGTTTGTACTGGAGAACCAGAACCCT